CCCGCTCAACCAAGCTGTCAGCTCCATTTCTGTGATTTTAATTACAGTTATTATGTCCTTATGCCTTTGGCTGACCCCATATAAGACCAATACTCTCTTTTTTCCTAACTAAAAGGAGCCATTTTTCCTCCCTGAGCAGGTATGTTCATAAACAAAATGTGCACCTCCCCAGCCTCCCTTTTTCTTCTTTTGTATTTCTAACTGGCTGTTGTCTGTGTTAATACAGATAATTAATGTTTGTATGTTAATTTTGTAACATTGCCGAATTCTTTCAGTTGTGATTTTTCCTCTTTAAGTTGAAGCAGTTGATAGATCATACGCACATAACAAAGCTTACCTCCCCTCTGTTTTGAGATGTGGCCTCATCTGTTGATGATTGTCCTTGGTGCTGCCTCCTTAGAACTGGTTAGATGGCAAGATGAGTATGGCTGTCTTTGAGGGAACACATTTAGATTACAAAATGTGGTTACAAAGGCCATAACATTTGCTTCCTTAAAACTTACACAGAGAATATGCTTTTAGAAAGGAAATAGAGTCAGAATGTTCCCTGAAAGAATGCGCTATGTGATTGTGTCTTCAGGTGTGTGCCCAGTGGACCTTTTTAGTGAAACCTTCCATGATAGCTATGTGAAATTACAACTCCTCCTTCTTCTCTTCTCTTCCTAGCTTCGTTTTTTCCTCCATAGAATTGATCACCATTTTGCAAATTGTATATTTCACTTATAATTTCTCTAGTGCCTGCCTCCCTCCACTGGAATGTAAGTGCCATTACAGCAGGGAGTGTTACCCGCTCTGAGGTCCAGTTGTCCTTCTAGGACCCAGAGAATTACATGGCCCATAAAACCTGCTCAGTAAATACTTGATGGATAGGATTTCTTGAAATCATCCAGGAAAGGTGCTAAGAGAGATTTGTTTGCTTCCAGTTAGATGTCAGTATAGAACAGGACTTAATTACTTAAGAACTTGGTGGAATTTTTTAAAAGCTGTGACAATATCACATTTAAAAATTTATTATTTATCACTTTTCCATGGTGATGAAACTTGTACAAGACTCTGTAGACCTCAGTGGGTCAGGGAAGATAGGGGTCCAGGCTGTGGTAACTATCAGGAGGAGAATAAGCTGAGACTCTGGGCTTCACCAGCTGGAGCTCCCCACAGCTCATCACTGGCATGTTACAAAGAACAACATAGTTTTCATCTGTTTTGCAGAAATGGTCACAAAAGCATTTCACTAGAAAAGAGAATTCAGCAGGAAAATTTGAGCTCTGTAGAACAACCTTCATATTGCTCAAAACAGATGTCCTTTGAATCTTAATTCACCATTAAAATTAAACACTTCAAAGTCCTTCACGAAAGCAGTGAGAATTTTCATCTCTGAAGCATTTAGGCCTATGATGTAGCGATTATGATTAAGAACAAGAAAAGGAACCCAGAAGGAAGCTCCCCACCTCCATCCCAGGCTCCTAGGGCAGAGAAGCTCAGCCAGTCCCAGCACCCAGAAGGAAGCTCCCCTGCTGCCATCCCAAGCTCCTAGGGCAGAGACAGTGAGCC